ATAAATTAGCTTTGAACCAGCTATAATTCTTAAAGCATTACTTATGACTGATTTATAGAAAATCTCATTAATTGCAATAGCACAAAGACCTTGAAGCAAGAAGTAGAAAGTAAAACTCAGTCTGGAGAGTAAGAAAGAATAGATGCACATACCTTATAATTAATAGCACTATATCATTGTTACATGTGTTTTACTGATAGTATGTTCCTGAATATATCAAGTAATCCTTACCACAAATTTGAATAAGATATATTATTGTTGCTCCTGCCTTATAAAATAGGAAGAAACTGAGTGTCCCATCACTTTATTTTTAATATGTATTAAATATTTATTATATATTGCTTCTTATGAGCCAGTAACTTTACATACACAGTATTTTGTGACAGCTCTAACCAAAGTCTTTTGAGTAGAAAACAGTGTTGTTCTTTCACAGATGGGAAAAGTAAAGTATAGGGAGATCAAGTAACTTTCTCAATTTTAAGGTCATTGAGGGTCAAACAGGGATATGATCTCAAGAAGTCTCACACTGGACCCTTTTCTCTTGACCACTGAGCATGGCTGCCTTTATTGCCCCATATTTTAAAAGGAAAAAGGTAGCAAACAGCAGACTAAGGAATTATCTTCTTTACTTTTGTGCTATTTCCAGTCAACTAGTTATTTCTACCTGTTTTGCCTGAGACCCTAGGATTCTAAGGATGGCTATGCAGTAGGGAATGGGAGAAAGCTTAGAGGAGCTGGACCCTGGGACCCCAACAGTAAAAACGTTAATTTGTTTATGTATCAGGGATTTTGCATGCTATGTTATTTTATGCCCAATGACCTTAATAACATATGCTCTCTCCCCCTGAAACCTATGTCTGTTTCAGGGAGAGAGGGCATATGTAAAACTACACTAAATCACTCAAATGATAAATTTTCGATGGTCATTATTACTGGAAATTTGGATAGCTTTTTATTGATAATGAAAACATAAAAAAGTTATTTAAGGCCATATTTAAATTTACAAGGAGGATAACTCTATCTGACTTAGGTTGTGAAACCTACCAACCACATTGTTGTCATGATATAAATGGGACAGAGGTGTAGTCCTATAAAACCTGTTAACAGGATTGACATGATGAGCCAGGCCTTTTTGTTTAGTCATTGTTTTAAAATTCAGGTTTTATTATTATTTAGCTATAGTGAAGCAACAGACCAGGAGATGGTTGCTGTTTAAAAAGTGATGTTTTACTCACAACTCACAGGAGGAGGGGCATGACACAGCATGTGGAGGCCACACTGGGAAGCAGCAGGATCAGCCAGTAGGGAGCAGCCAGTGGAAAATAGGGGCAAGAGTCTTTATTGTGGTTTTTTGGGGAAGGCAGGGTAAATGGGCTTGTGATTGGCTAGTTTGAATAATTTTGGCAGGCTCTGGGACATAGGGGCTGTCCCTTGTTGCCTGGTAAGTGGTAAGTGGACGTGGGGTGATTAGGGCAGGGGAATGGTGGTCTGAGTGTTAAGAGTCTTGGGAGAAGCTGATAAAGAAGGTGGCTGGGGTTTTGACCTTTGGATTGGCTGGTTTGTTTATGAAAGTCATGCTTATAGGCAAGTGCTTGACTACTTCTAGGAATTTGCTAGCCCTGAAAGGGTAGCCTCTCTAGATTCAGCAAGGCCTCAAATGTTAGAACATCAGAAAACACAAAAAATAAAAAGGCATGATTAATACATTAGAACATGTGACTACATATATGCAAAGGGCTGTGATTAGATATTTGCTTTGTTGCACATTTTTCAATATCTTTTTGTTTTGTGCCTACAGTATGCCAGGCACTGTGTTGGCAATAGGCTAAGAGGAATCCATCAGACATGGCCCCTGTTCTCACAGAGTACACAGGCTGATGGAGGAAACCACCCAGAAACAAATAATCACAGTACCAGATGGTGTGAAAAGTCAACCTAGAACTGCAACAGCTCCAAGGAAGGAAGCAAGTTGGTTGGCCTTAGAAGGCTGGGGAAAAAAATTAGTGTAACTCAGAATCTATTAGTCAAGTATTTTTGCTGTCATAGAAAAGGACACAAAAGCCTCTGAAACCAGAAACAAATCAAGGACTTTAAATATCACCTTCTTAAGACCAAGGTTCCTTACAGTGGTTTTGTAAATGTGGGTATATGTTTAAGGATTGCTAATGGCAGCTGGTTTTCCTTAAGAGTGCATCTCCTATTACTGAGGGAAAAAAGCCTCTTCTCCACTTTCTGTAGGTTATTTAGTAAATGCAACTATTTCTCACTAGTGAAAGGATCATGTCCTAAAAAGGAGCCAGCCCTTCTTCCTCAAACCCTCCGGTGGTAGACAAGGAAGTGCTGGCTTTGAAACTAGATCGCTCTCTGGCATTGGCTTCTCTCCAAGACTCACTTGAGCCAACAGGAAGATCTTCCTAATTGCTCTGCTTGCCACTAGTTTCTTCCATTGCTTGTCTCTGCCCCAAGTTAACCTCACATCATCATTTATCAAAACAAAGCCGATGATAGCATTCTTTGCTAAAAACAAAACACGTGGCCTGCACTATAAAATTGGGACTCTTAAGTTTGACGTAACCAACCCTTAAGAGTCTTTACCCGATCTCATTCCAGCTTCCTTTCTCATTCTCGTCCTCAGGCCTTCCATTCTGACAGAGGGCACTTTTTACTGTTCCCTGGATGTACTAGCATTTTTCACGTGTGCTTGCCTTGGTTCAGCTGATCCCTCCGTGCTTAAAATGGCCTTCTTTCCTTTTCTTAGCAGCTTCTACAAAATATAGATCAGATATCCGTCTTCTCTGAAACCTCCGTGGTTTTCCAGCATAGATTAAGTTGCTCCAATGTTAGTGCTCTTGTGCCAGTGTGGACTTCTGTCATAGCAATGAACATATATCATTGTACTTCATCTGTTTGCCTATCTGTCTCACCCTTTAAATTTAAATTCTCCCGAGGTAAGGATTCTGTTCCTCATCCTTATATGCTCACTACTTAGCAAAATGTCTGGTTGAGGGAAACAACAGAAAAGACTTAGAACAATGCCTCCCA